CACGCTGCCCGAATGTTGCTCTGCAGTATTTGGGCCCAATTCCGGCGAAGCGCTTGCTTGAGGTGATCGACACTTTGGTATATATTAGTGCCAACCTTGCTTTTCAAAATACTGCAAACACAATAATCCAACGGATGGGTATCCGGAGATTTTGGTGGCCATTGTGCGCTGGAAATAATGCAAGGAACCTCATTTTGTAACCAATCTTGGGTGGCGCGTACTGTGTCCTGTTGGAATGTTCAAGGTCTGTGGCCAAAATGTTTGCGTGCCAAGGCTTTAATACACCCTCCAGAATATTTTTGCGATAATAATCGGTATTTATTCTGATGCCGTGGTCGATTAGAACGAGCGGAGAGCGGCTATCGGCTGTTATAGCGGCCCACACCATCACCATGGCCCGCACTTGAGTTCTGGTGGCCAACCAATGGTGCACATTTTCAGCTAACCTCTTTGGCAAGTAAACATGATCACGATTTGTTTGTCACTGGAATAATTTTAACAGCTGTCGGACGAGTGGCTTGGAAAACGACAGCAGTCTGAAGTCGGTTGCAGTTGTTTCATCTCACCCTGTACTTGTCAAAGCTAAGTTATTTCTTCCAAATATAATACCAAATCACATCAACACTATTTATGTTTGGTCGCATGTCCATTAGACTTTTATGGGCATCATGAAAAAGAAAACCAAAATAAAATATTCACAATAATCCCTGCATGAAAAAAGGATAACAACAACAAGTGTATATGTTTCTGCGTGTAATGACAACGAATCCGGGGTGGAAAGTTCTCTTGAATCAATTTACACTCATCGATTGGGTGATAAAATATTCAATGGCGAGTCTGTGGGGTTGACGATGTTTGCTTACCCAACCATGTTTTAGGGGGAGTGATGGCCTGGCCAAAAGTCAATGTTGTAATGATTTAATGAAATGCCACGATGTTGATGCTAATAATGATCGATGTTCTTACAGAACCGCATACAAATTAAATTTTAAATACTGAAATCATGAAAAACATTTGTATTAGTTGTGAAATCAAAGAGTTTTTTGGGGCGGGATGTTGTTTGCCAAAAGGACTAACTTTAAAGGGACAATATTTCATTTTCTGAGCAAATTTGTCATTTAAAGGGGGAAGATTTTAAAACAATCTGTCAAAGCTTTAAAATTTAATGAAAGTAAACTAATTTTATATGTCGTCCAGGAAAAAGGGGAACAAAGCGGATTAGGAACGTAAGAAAATCTGTTAAATCATAAATATTCATTAGCAGATTTATGTATATATAAATAACTTTAAAATATAAACGAAACTATTTCTTTTGTTATGGAGATACCATGAGTCGAAATCTAGACCTAGTGGCTAGAGGAGAATCATCTCACCTATTATGGAAGTTACGATTATTTTAAATTCTGGCAATTTCTGGGAGAGACTCCAGATGTTCGCACCTGACTTAAACTGATATAAATTTTCCCATGTGCGAAATTTCAATAAACCCGGATTCTAACTTGGAATCCAGCCAATAATTTGATTTTGAAGATGATTTGTTGATTATTGTTCTAATTGTTCACCCTTTGTGCGGTTGATATTATAAGAATTGGACTAATACAGGGTGAGATGAAAAAACTGTAACCAACTTCAGACTGCTGTCATTTCTAAGCCACTCGTCCGACAGCTGTTAAAATTATTCCATAACAGCCGATGGTCGCTCTCCGCTCGTATTAATCGACCGTGACATAAAAATAAATGTCGAATATTATTGCGAAAATATTCTGGAGGGTGTATTAAAGCCTTGGACACGTAAAGTTTTTGGCCGCTGACCTTGGACATTCCAACAGGACTCAGCACCACCCAGCGCACAATGACCACCAAAATCTTCGGATACCAATCCGTTGAACTATTGTGTCTGAAGTATTTTGGAAGGCAAGGTTGGCACTAAAAAATACCAAAGTGTCGATCACCTCAAGCAAGCGCTTCGCCGGGAATGGACCAAAATACTGCAGAGCAACATTCGGGCAGCGTGTGACGGTTTCATTGGCCGTTTGAAGGCCATAATTCGTGTCAAAGGTGACCAATTCGAACAAGTCTAAAACTATTCTAAAATTTGATGCTATTTCCGATATTTTTTGCTTTCATTCAATAAAATGTAAAAAAAAATGTAAAAATTGTGGCGTTTGACTTTTTTGCAGTTTTTTATCTCACCCTGTATTGCCGATTTTCCTGATCTGACCAAAATCCCATTAAAATGTTACTATGTGCCGCCTAGCTTTCTGGTTATTCCGATATTCGAAAATTATTTGCACACAGACTAACGCAACGAGACATGGGGTCTTAAACCATTATTTCGATGAGACACATTTCGGCCGTATGAGGTTAAAAGAGGGGGACCTACAGCATACAAATAAAAATCAATTCTTCAATATTAACTTATAAAGGGAACGTCTGGGTTTACATAAGGAATACATGATATAAGAAGTACAATATACCTTTATGGTTCCAAAAAAAAATCAAGCACTTTCCTACCTTAAATATTCACTTTATATTACTACCTTGAGTTTTATAGGAGGTAAGCATGAAGTTCTAATTTTTTTTATAATTGAACTATAAAATCTAATTTGTTGGATCTACACACAGCAGCATCCTCTCAGGTATTTGAAAGACAACATCCGATACCGATTCAATGTGATTTTCCAAGTATCAATTTTTCATTATCCCCAATTCAATAGCGTTTCCATTATCCCAGCATATACATTATAAATTCCTTCACTTCGATTCTCTGATCCGACCGACAAGTCATTCAACCGTTATTAAAATTGAAAAACCATTAAGAAAACCCCACCAAAGAAAGGGAGAGACATAGTGACGTCGATAAGACGAGATACACACACACATACAGAGCAGTGATTTAATGATTGATTAAAGTTTAAAAACACACCTATTGTTTTATAAGAAGTACAAATTTGTACGCCTTAAAAAGCCTTTTATTCTATACGCTTAGCTCATGAAGCGTATGCAGAGAGTCTTTGGGAATTACTTTTGGTTTTCACACCTAAGTATGTAATTGTAATTTTCACGCCATACTGGATGTGACGTTATTTTTGTCTTCATTATCATCCTAATCCCAATCTATATAGAGTTTCTACTTGAAAAATAAAAAAATATAATTAGAATTAATACAACGTGTGTGTCCATGTGTAAAATTAACATTTATCACATATCGATGTATCGAAACTGGTAGACATAATGTCTGGCAGGGTATGTTCATTATGGACCCGAAAAAAATCCATTATTTCTATAAGAGCAATGGTGAGATTAAATGGGTGAAAAAAATCAACACAGCAGTTATATTTAGCGAAGTCAAAGGCTCCCAACTCAGTTGGCAGCATCGGGAAACTCAATTCAGTTAGAAACCCAACAAAGATGTTGGAAACAGTGCAACTCCATCCTACATCGATCAATAGTGTAGGTGGTGGAGCAGGTGGCTCTCAGCACACTTTTGCATAGTCAACATGCCGATTTACGCGATCGACCTACTCGACATCGAAAACCCATTTCATTGCTTTTGAAGAATTTCGCTTGATTATTCCTGTAATTTCTATGCCACCACGTAATTTTCTTTCATTTAGTGAATGAAAACGACTACAACATTAGTGATAGCGCCATCTATATATCGTTTTATTTTACCCTACTGTTTTAAATTCCAAGCACAAACCCCAAGCTTAAAATAAAACGACATTATCGACGCATAGTTGAGATGAACACCGTTGTTTGTCAATAGATGTCAGGCGACTATATATTTTCCTCTTAAAAGTAATACAAAATTGTAATAGGCGAAGCAGTTTAGACATGTGAGGACAACAAGTTTTCTATAAAACAAAAAGACAGATTTACAGAGTCGATGAAGTCGTACACATGGTACAATAAAAAGGTATGTTAGAGCTTCAGCTGAATACAATTTTTAAGTATGCCCAACTTTTGCCAATTTTGTGTATGAATTTTTTGGTTTGAAAAACAAGAACAAAATATTTTCAAAATTAATGATTGGAAGAAACGTACAATGCATGTCGCTATGAAAATATGGAATTGACAGATTGAAAAGTTTGGTTGAACGGGGGGCATTTCACTAAGCTTTCGCGCAATTTAACTAATTTGGAAATAAGGAAAAATATAAAATAAATGAAAACAAAATTTTCTCTAGTTTTATAAAGCTGTTCTATCTACTTATTGTACCATGGTCACACCTATCCTCTAATATGTTTTTCCCTTTACCACTTTTAAATACTTTGCTTGGACCTCAACTGTGTTCTATGCTTAATGGTCACAGCAGAGTGAACGGACCATGGTAGAAGAATATAGGTAGACGCATAGACACAGCTGCTGGGACAATAAGCTGTCAAAACAATTTTGGAATTGAAAATGTAGAATGAAAAATTATTTAAATTTGTAAAAATTGTTGAAAAACGCGAATTATAATGACCTCCGAATGACGTCGTATAAGAAAACATTTAAAAATCTACTTATATTTGAAAAAATATTTAATATTTTTTGACATATCAATGCTCCCAAACGTTGATGCATCTACCTGTATTTTTCTACCATGGAACGGACCACGCGTCTTCACAACAACCATAAAGAAAATTTCATAGTCGATAAGGCCGCTCTATACGTTACGCAATACCAATGAAACAACAACGACAGAGGGACAGTGTTTTTTCCCGTCCTTAAGTTCGCTTAAAAACGAAGAAAGCAACCTTAAACTGCCACATTTTACCAATAAGAGTAATTCGGAAATAATTGGAAGTATTCTGTTATTGAAATAATATCATTGACAAATAATCACTTACAACAGTGTTATTTTCTATGTGGTTGTTAATGCATGTCAGGCATATATCTTATATAAATATACCCAGTTAAAGCCTATGTTGAGTCTTTATACGTTGTTGGACAAATTAGCTCAAAATCGGTTGTTAAATTAATAATTTGTTATATTCGATTCATTGTTTCATTTTGACAGATAATCATGATATCAGCTGGTCTTGTTTAATGTTTTGCGGCATTTGGAACGTTTTTCAATCTGTTAGGCAGAGTTCATCAGAAATGGCCAAAATGGCGAAATAGATTGTCGTCCGCAAATTAACTTGTTTACAATACAATGCAGCCGGTAAGAACAAATTATTTCAAATAAATTATTTATTAAAAACTTCTCTTTGCAGACTATTGCATCGTTCTTTCAAAAAGCATCCTCGAGTAATGGAAGCAAACCAAAAGAAGCTGAAGCAAAAGAGCCGAAGAAGCGCAAAGCTCGGGTAATTTCAAGCGATGAGGACGATGAAGTTGTCCCGGCGTCCCCTCATGTTTCCAAAACGAAACATAGCAAGAAATCAAAAACTGAATGTAATGGTTCAGGAACATCGAAAACATCGCCCACTTCCCCAAAGAAGTTAAAATTGGACAAATTGAAATCGAAGTCACCTTCGAAGAATCCATCAACCGCTGTAAAACCAGTTGATCCAATGTCGTTGTTTGGTGGAGAAACAAAGCGCATTGAAGCCAAGAAACCGCCAAAACCCAAAGATCGGGCTTTACAAGAACTTGAGGATGATGACATTGATAAAAGTCTAATGGAAATCGATTTGGAGGAAAGTGTGTTGGAAACTACCAAAGAGAAGAGCAAGAACGATGCTAGTGAAAGGCCCCCAAAGAAGGATAAAAACAAGGAGGAAAAACACACTCCCGATCATAAAAAAATTAAAGAAGAAAAACGAACACCAACAGAGGTCAAGGTCAAGGAGGAAAAAACTCCAAGGAGCAAAAAACATTCTTCTGCTGGTCATGACGATGAAAAACCAAAATCAGCCAGAAAATCGAGTGCTGATTTGGATTCAAGTAAGAGAGCTATGAAATATATTATTATATTGTATACCTAATCAATTGCAACCATATGATAATTTTTTAGGTATTTTAACCGACGAAGAACGTCATGAACGTAAGCGCATGACAGCTATTTTGTATCAAAAATATAAAAATCGTTCATCTGTCATTAACCACGGATGTAAAGAGGTTCCTAAGGTAATTCGAAAAACTTGTATTAAACCATATTTGCAATTGAATTAGCCTTACTAAATACACAGGGCAAACCGAATTGTTTGGCTGGATTAACATTCCTTGTAACCGGGGTATTAGAATCACTTGAGCGGGATGAAGCATGTTCCATAATTAAGGAGTATAGTGGAAAGGTTATGACCACTGTGGGTAAACGTTTAAATTATCTTATAGCCGGTGAGGATTCTGGTCCCAAAAAGCTTGCCCAGGCCGATGAGTTTAATGTCAAAATCATAACAGAAGATGATTTCCTTAATCTCATCAGAGAAAAATCGGGCATGAAAGTTGAAAATGGTGGTCATGAAGACAATGAAAAACCTACCACAAGCCCCAAGAAAAAAGAAGATGTTAAAATCAAAAAAGAAAAGCACAGTACCCCTCCAGAAAAGAAACACAAAATGGAAGAAATCGAAATTAAAAAGGAAAAATTGGAATCACCTCCAGAGAAGAAACCTAAAAAAGAAGAATTGAACAACAACAAAGCTGAAACAAAAATTAAAAAAGAAGTCCAAGAGGAAAAGCAGCAGATTAAATCAGTAAAGGAAGAATTTCCCAGACCACCACCTGTTACAGAAGATATGATGGCCTGGGTAGACAAATATAAACCAACATCGGTCAAAGAGATTATTGGGCAACAGGGACCGGCCAGTAATGTGGCAAAGTGAGTATTTCCTAGTTGTATTAGTTTCCTAGTAATACAATAATCACCTATCTTTGCTAGGCTAACAAATTGGCTTTCTAAATGGTACGTTAACCATGATGGGAAGAAAAAATTACAAAAGCCAAATCCATGGGCCAAAAATGATGATGGTAGTTTTTATAAAGCCGCATTACTCTCCGGTCCACCTGGAATAGGTAAAATGTTTTCAATAAAATTAAAAATAATCTAACCCGAAATAACGCATTTCAGGAAAGACTACCACTGCAACATTGGTATGCAAGGAACTGGGATTTGATACTGTGGAATTTAATGCTTCGGACACCCGAAGCAAACGACTACTGAAAGAAGAAGTCTCCGAGCTGCTTTCGAATAAATCACTTTATGGCTATTTTTATGGTAATGCCCAGGCTGTTACCAAGAAGCATGTTCTTATTATGGACGAAGTAGACGGCATGGCTGGCAACGAAGATCGTGGGGGTATTCAAGAATTAATCGGACTCATTAAAGAGTCCTCTGTTCCTATTATTTGTATGTGTAACGATCGCAACCATCAGAAGATGCGATCGCTTGTTAACTATTGTTATGATCTGCGTTTTAATCGACCCCAATTGAAACAAATCAAGGGTCGAATCTTAAGTATTTGTGCCAAGGAGAATATTAAACTTGACTCCACTAAATTAGATGAGATAATATCGGCAACTAACAATGATATACGACAGTCTATTAATCACATCTCATTGCTTAGTGCGGGCAAGGAATTGAATTTAACTTCGGACAAAAAATTGTCCAAAGAGGAAGATAAAACAGCACAAAAGGATTTGAAAATGGTAAAAGTTCAAACATAATTTTATACATTACCAAGTTATATTTTAATTCAAGGGTCCCTGGGATGTCGTTCGTAAAGTATTTTCGGCGGATGAACATAAAACTATGTCATTTTACGACAAATGTGATCTTTTCTTCCACGATTATAGTCTGGCTCCATTGTTTGTCCAACAGAATTATTTGATTGTAAGTCCAGCCGGACCCAAGTAAGTATAAAATTCAGATTCTATAACCATATATGTGCTTGATTATAAAAACTTTATCCTTTTAGATCTGAAGTTATAAGCAAAGTTGCCAACACAGCAGACTCCTTGAGTTTGGGAGACCTCGTAGATAAGAAAATTCGTTCCAACTCCGCCTGGGCCCTTTTGCCTACACAAGCGATTTTCAGCTCAGTTTTGCCAGGAGAATATATGAGCGGCCACTTCACGGGCCAAATAAATTTTCCCGGCTGGCTGGGAAAAAATTCACGCTCGACCAAACGTAGCCGTTTGGCTCAAGAAATTCACGATCATACGCGTGTAAAAACCTCTGGCTCACGTCTTTCCATTCGTTTAGACTATGCGCCCTTCTTATTGAATAAGATTGTAAAACCTTTGGTAGACAAAGGTCAGGAGGGAGTTGAAGAATCTCTGGAAACATTGAAGGAATATCATTTGCTTCGAGAAGATATTGAAAGTTTAATCGAACTAAGTTCATGGCCGGGTAAGAAGAGTCCAATGGATGCAGTAGATGGAAAGGTTAAGGCTGCACTCACAAGAGCTTACAATAAGGAGGTTCTGGCATATTCATATTCAGCAACAGCAGGTGTCAAGAAAAAACGTGCCGAGGCCTCAGATGATCTTGATGCATTGGGCGGCGGAATGGAAGAGGGTGAAGAGGGAACAACCAATGCCGCCGTCGAATCCGAGGATGAAAATGATGATAACTTGGAAAACGATGGTTTAATTAAGGTTAGTTTTGTTGAATAATTGTTTAGAAGTTATTGCATTCAATTGATTTTCTTATAGGCGAAGAAGAAAAGTGCATCTTCCACAAAGGCTTCTACGTCGAAAGGCTCAGCAGCCAAAAAATCCACAACTACCAAACCGAAAGCAGCAGCCAAATCGAAGAAATAATTTATTTTGTAATTGCATGTTTGAATTTTGTTGCATTCTTGTGATTATTTTTGATTGAAATATATGTGTATACATTGAATTGTGTAAAATTCTCACAAAAATCAAAAAGGCCTGATCAGCATTGTCAGCATATTGTTACTTTATTATTGGGATTCCGAAGCTCGTTTATGTTTCTTTTCTGCAGTGTCCTCAGTACTGTTTGGCAATTGTATATTAACTGCGGTCAAAGCTTCTCGTATCCACTTTGGTACGGGCTCATCCACAAAGTGTTTGCTCATAAAATCTTTAACAAATGCCGGAAACTGATCTTGTTCAATTGCTTTACGCATTGTGCGCATCAAACGCAATTGAAATGCTATATTATGCACACTTAAAAGACTACAGGATACACTTTCTATTGTCGCGATGTGGTGGAGGTACGACCGGGTATAGAGTTTGCAGGTACTACATTCACAATCTTCATCGATTGGCCTCAAGTCCAGTGCATATTTTTTATTCTTCAGATTTAATTGACCCTCCATGACCAATGCACAACCAAATCGAGCTGTGCGTGTCGGAAAAACGCAGTCAAACATATCTATACCCAGAGCCACACATACAACAAGATCCGCTGCGAAACCCACACCCATAAGATAACGTGGTTTGTCCTTGGGCAACAGATCGGTACATGTATGAACTGTTCGCCAAAACTCATCTTTGCTCTCACCTCCACTCAAACCACCAACAGCATATCCCCTTACCTGTCTCTCCATAAGACCGCTCACACATTTCTTGCGTAGTTCCGGATCTAAGCCACCTGTTAATAGAGAGTAACAATCAGATTAAAACGTTCATGATAATTGTAAGTGTTATTCTCACGTGCCTTGAACAATTGGAAATAAACTTTGATCATCGTCTCTGGCATGAGCTTTAATACATCTATCCACCCATCTGATTGTGCGATGCATAGCCTCCTCTACTCTTGGCCCAGTAATTGTTGTTTTCACCACATCATCCAGCTGCATCATTATGTCAGCACCAATGGCATTTTGTATTTCAATGGAGTGTTCGGGAGTCAACATACACTCCGAATTATCAAATGGCGAACGGAAATTTACGCCTTCCTCGGTAATTTCAGCTAATTGCAGCAGAGACACCATTTGAAAACCGCCCGAATCGGTTAGTATTGCCCTGGGCCAGCTCATAAATTTGTGTAAGCCTCCTGCCTTTTTAAGTATATCAATGCCAGGTCGCATGCCCAAGTGGTAAGTATTCGACAAAAGTATTTGACAATTTAAATCAATTAGTTGATCTGGAAGAACTCCTTTCATGGTGCCTTGAGTTCCGACCGGCATAAAGACCGGAGTGTTTACTTCGCTGTGCCTCACAGTCATCAGTCCTGCTCGTGCCTTTGATGCGGAACATTCTGCAATAACTTTATACGTAAGCGGTGGAACTTTATTCGTTGCCATAATCAGTAAGTTTTTATAATTTTTATTTAACTCGGCAATAAAACAAAATAGACCCACTCGCCCACAAATTAGGAGGGAACTGTCAACATGTGTTGTGAAGACAAAAGCAAGGCTGATGTATTAGGGGTACTCGCATCAGTCATTTGTTACCACAATGAACTACCATTAAACGTCAAACTTCTGCCCCCTTAATTGCAAAAAAGAAATTTGTCTAAAACATCTTTATTCAAAGTAATTCTATATTTATTTAGTTAATTATTAATTTTTTTTATTCTATAATTATTTCATATATTACTACTTATTTTGACATTCACGGTGCCGTCAGCTGTGCTGATGCGACTACATAATACTTCTCCCTTGAAAACGAAACCAACTGCTGATGACAATTCTTAAGTAGGATACACACTATTAATAAGAACTGACATTTTAGCACGAAAGCCGAATGCTTTTATTTGCTTCAACCCTTTGCAGCAGCCAGTCTGGTTTCTTTTCCTGCAGGAATTGTCCAGCAACATCTTTCTCAGAGAGAGTAAAAAAATTAGTCTTGCTAATTAAAAAAAAAAAACAATTAGTCTTGCTAATTAAAAAAAATATATATTTTCAAATTGAAAGCACAAAAATAATAAACAAACAATAGAAAACATCTGATTAAATGTCGATGAATGAGAAGAAGAAGAGTTGCAAGTGATTGCAAGAAGAAATTTGTCCAGCACAAATTTGCAAACTCTCAATGATAGAACTGTCAAAATATCTCTCTCCAACCGCTCTCTTTTGCAGAACTTTCGCTTAACAGACGACTTCCATTAAAAAATTGTAACAATTGTTACAAATTTTAGGGTATCCAGACACACGTATTATTGCGCCATGGTTCCATCCATTTCGTGTTAGACGTCATCGATAAACCAACAAGCAATTATCTAACTAGTCAATGACAGAATTAATGACATTTATCGATAACCACCGTTTTTAATTTGCGAAATTTTCTGTAGTCTACACGTTCGGCTTTGTTTTAAAGTAGAGGTCATGGTAGAAGAATATAGGTAGGCATCGACACAGCTGCTTGGACAATGAACTGTCAAATCAATTTTGGAATTGAAAATGTTGAATGAAAGATTATTTTAATTTCTAGAAATTGTTGAAAAACGAGAATTATAATAACCTCCGAATGAGGTCATATAAGAAAACATTTAAAAATCTATTTATTTTTGAGGAAACTTTTTAAAATTTTTGACATATCAATGTTCCTGAGCGTTGATGCATCTACCTGTATTCTTCTACCATGGTAGAGGTCGTAGGGAATGTTACATATTTTTCATTTTTTTACCAATGTGGCCCCTGCGAACCACCCAACATAACTAAACAATCAACATATGAGCATAGCTGTCATTCAAAACTGATGTTGTGTAACCAGTTATTTTAAAAAGCTTCCTTTCGATTATTACGTCAATTAATGTTGACAAACAGCTGATTGTCATCATTAATTTATTAATTTTCCCTGAAAAAGACAAAAAATTCTTAACATAGAGGGAGAAAGTATATATTTGTTTTGTAATTTTCCCTTTCATAATAGTGTCAATAAACAAAAAGTTCACATGAAAAAAACTATCAACAATTGATGATCGGTTTGGAATAACAGCAATTTGCGTCGTATCGCTACTGTTGATATTGAAAAGTTTGGGAATTCGGAAGAAATGTTTCGCAGTCGTAGCTGGTTTGGTGGCGGTTGGAATAAACCAAAAAACCGTCTATCATTGGATCATTTGAAATATTTGTATAGCGTTTTGGAAAAGAACACAACAGTATCAGAGAATAATAGAGGCTTGCTGGTGGAATCCTTGCGAAGTATTGCCGAGATATTGATATGGGGTGATCAGCACGATTCCTCAGTGTTTGAGTAAGTGTTGGTCCCATAGTCATCAGACCCTGCCCGGTCAACTAGCACAAAATGTGAAGCGCTGAAACACTCAACTATTATTAGATATTCTAATTGCTATTCTATAAATATGCATATTCCTTATCTCTAAACTCATTCTTTCAGTTTCTTCTTGGAGAAGAATATGCTGTCCTACTTTCTTCATATAATGCGGCAGAAAAGTGGGGGCTCTAGTTTTGTGTGTGTTCAATTGTTGCAGACATTGAATATACTGTTCGAAAACATTCGCAATGAAACTTCTTTGTGTAAGTCAAGTCAAGAACGATATGTAAATATTATTTCTATTTGTATTTCTAACTATTTTTAGATTACCTTCTCAGTAATAATCATGTCAACTCGATTATTGTACACAAATTCGATTTTTCCGATGAGGATGTCATGGGCTACTACATATTGTTTCTCAAAACGCTAAGCTTGAAACTAAACACCCATACCATTCATTTCTTCTACAATGAGGTAGAGTTTAATATACGTAACTACCTGTTGTTAACTATATATATTTTGTTTTCGAATTTCAGCATACAAACGATTTCCCTCTCTATACGGAGGCTATTAAATTTTTTAATCATCCCGAGAGTATGGTGCGAATAGCAGTTCGAACAATTTCTTTAAATGTATACAAAGTACAAAATGCTAGCATGTTGCGTTTTATAAGAGACAAGTGAGTTAAAATTTGTGTTCTTGTGGAAAATATTGATCAATTTTTATCTTCGTTTAGAACGGCTGCTCCATATTTTAGTAATTTGGTATGGTTTATTGGTAAACATATTTTAGAGTTGGACAATTGTGTACGCACAGACATAGAGTAAGTTGTAAGGTATTTAATATTGTAATAAATTATAAACGTTTAAAATCTCTTTTCAGCCATCAATCGAATCAGAAACTCTCAAACCTGGTTGCCGAACATTTAGATCACCTGCATTATTTAAACGATATACTCCTATTGGAAATAAACGATTTGAATGCAGTGCTAACAGAACATCTGTTACATAAACTTTTTGTACCTCTATATATATTTTCATTAACACCGGCACCACCTCCACCATCACTGGCATTGGTTACACAGAACTTGGCTGCAGTTTTAAATCGCAATGTCGATATTGACATTCAGGAGATGCAAAATCCCAGAGTATCTTCAATAGTTGCTCTATATCTTTTATCACTGGTATTTTTGGTGGTGACCCACTCCCCACTGGTGCACGCCCTGGCATGGGTTATATTGAATGGTGATAATAGCGTATTTAAAGAAGGTGCTGCATCAGTTCTGTACGAGGAACATCGTCAAGTTGTGGTGCCTAGTTTTACAGAACCCCGTGAAAGTTTGGAACAGGCATTGGACACAGCGGCTAATTTCTCCGGTTACTCATATGGAGAAGAAACCACCGAGGATAGTTTGGTGACAGCTTCTAACAATGACTCAGCAACAACTAGCAATATCCATCCCGTAGAAGAAACTGAAATCCACAGCTCTACTGAAGCCTTAGAAAATGCTGTTTCGACCTTGTCCAATGCAACGAAATTGGCAAATATCACCGACGAAGAAAAGGAAAAATTACAGCAACTAACATCTCCCACCGCAGTGACGGTGATCCATCCAACATTAAACAGACCCTTTTTGGATACTGTCCTATCGGCGTTGGACTGCTCCGAAAATGACTATTTGGCGCTTTTGGCTCTGTGTTTAATATATGCCATGACTTTTAACAAAGGTTGTATTTTTTGTAAATCGAACTACCCATAAGAGTATTCATATTTTCTTTTCCAATCTTACTATTCATGCTGCTTGCTATTTCTAACTTTAAATTATTACGTTTGAGTAGATGGTATGTAAATGATCACTCATTTCAATAGCTCTTCAATATGCTTATTCCAAACATTTCTTAAAATCTAAGACATTCGCACTGGATACATTTATATAAGCTATATTTGATGGTACTATAACTAACATTAAATTATCTTCTTCTAGGAGTCAAAAATGATTGGTTCCATCAGGTGCTATCCAAATCAAATGGAGCACTCAGTTATAAATCGGAGATAATTGAACGCCTACTGAGTATTATTACATTGTCCAATCAACCATGTAAGTAACATAACTTATTTTCCATGCTAAATATAGAGAGAAAATTGCCAAATACTCTGTTTCGTTTCTCATTACAGCTTGTCGTATTCGTCTCATTACTATTGAAATAGCTTTACATCTACTGGTGACCTTTACAAAGCCAACAGAAGATTCGCCTGCCACAACCTGTATAACAGAAGCTCAACAGGATTTGTTGTTTGCAGCTCGAAATCAATCAATGTCTGTGTTGCGAAATTTCTATAAATCCGAAGATATTTTTCTCGATCTATTTGAAGATGAATACAATGAAATGCGCAAAACCAATTTGAATGTCGAGTTTTTATGCATGGACTCGGCAATTTTATTGCCACCCACCGGTACTCCCTTGACTGGTATACCATTTACTAGACGTCTTCCCTGCGGTGAAGTAGAAAAGGCAAGGAGAGCCATAAGAGTATTTTTCTTACTACGCAAAACGTGCCAACAATATCTGAATGAAAAAGAAAATATGCTGCCGTTGACGAACTCCGTTAATTTGGTGCAAATTGACAATGTCTTGGATTTGAGTCAGTTTTTTAAAAATGTAAAAATCACATGTTTCTAAATTTATTTATTTTTTGCAGACAACAGTGATTTGATAGCATGCACGGTTATTGCAAAGGATAACGTTAAGCAGCGCAGATTCCTGGTCATTGATTCGCTGCAGCTGATCCTAGTTGAACCCGATGCCAAACTTTTGGGTTGGGGCGTAGCAAAATTTGTAGGATTTTTGCAAGATGTTGAAGTTATTGGCGATAAAGATGACAGCAGGTGCTTGCACATAACTGTACATCGCGGTGGTGCTAGCCACAACCGCACACCTCTAATATCTGCCAAATTTTTATTTGACGATCATATTAGATGCATGGCAGCAAAGCAAAGGTTGACGAAAGGCCGTAGTAAGGCCAGACAAAAGAAAATGTATCAAATAGCACAGATGATCGAAATTCCGGGCCAGGTGATAGATTCGCCGGTTTATGCTGTTGCTGGTTTAAGGTCGGCCAGTGGGCCCAGCAGTAGTAGTAGTTCTAGATCTTCACGTGATCACAGGCCAATCTTTTCTACTAATAATCGAGTTCCTGGTTTCGCAGCTGCTTTACGAAGAGAAAATGTATCGGGTGGTGTTAGTCGCATTCAAATGGCTCAAAATCGTTCCATAGAAGGGTAATTTTAAATGATTTGTATGTATTTGTAAAAGTAATATAAACTTGGTCTCTATATATGTACAGCATACGTAATGAAGGTTCGGGGCGTTCTCGCAGACGTAGCCCAACTTCCAGTGCTGTTGCAAGTAATGGAGAAACAGGTTCATCGCAGCGCGAACACTCTCATTCTCCCAGTATAGGTGCCAAAAGTTCTTCTCACTCAAGAGACAACTCATTACAGAGGACATCACGCGAAGGTAGCCCTCTGACTCAAAGACCTCGGTATGTGAATATATCTATTATATGCGATTTTTTCCTATCAAATAATATCGTTGCATTAATTGCAGGTCCGAAGAAATTCCTTTGGAGGATTTTCAGCATTCGCGTAATAACAGTCCGCATGGAAGAACGCCTTCATCATCCTCTAATGCTGGTTCACGTTCACATACACCGTCAAGAGTGTTAAATTTTGATCAAATGTCAGTACACAATGCCTCGCCACGACGAGACAGTGCAATGTCTAATCAAACCAATGGCGTTTCAAGCAGTAAAGATAATGTATTACAAACTCAAAAGTCTTCGGAGGAAACGTCGTTTATAGCTACGGAAGAACCAAATTCCTCGAATTGCACAGCTGGTTCTAGTGCTGCTAGACGTAAAGGAACCATAGAAACTGTTTAAATCAGTTCATATTCATATTTTTCGATAGCATATACTTTTAAAATTTAGACTAACATTGAACAATTGTTGCACGGTAATGGTGATTTGTTTTAATAGTTGATAATAGTTTTATTTACAAAAGATTTGATTTTACTGCACTTACAAACATGTTGACTAAAACAATAGAATAATAGATTATACATACCTACCTATATATATATATATTTAATAGATTGTAAATAACCAATATTTAGAATACAATTGTATGTTATTTTAATACTAAACAAGGAATACTAATAACCGAAGCGAAATCGTGGGTAATATTGAAATATTAAAAATTAAAATAATAACAGTTAACATTATTAAATACATTTTTTTTAATATTATTTAAAACGTAATTGAAACTGATCGTGAGTTGGTATCACACACCCAGCTCATAATCGAATTTAATAAAACTTCTTCTAAATAATATATGTTGATTGGAACGAGGCTATTTAGCGGCAATCAAATGCATCGCCTGATAACTTCATATTGAATGATTGGGAATAAATTTTGAATACTTTAGTTATTGTATTTTCTGGATAGTAGTTTGGTACAATAAAAAGGAATGGCAGACATACTGATTTCAATTTATTTAATTGTGCCTCACTTCTGCCAATTTCCTGTTTGTATTTATTATTTTGAAAATTACAAGTGAAAATGCCGGTTAGGCCGGACGAAGAAAAATAAAAGTATCTGAGTTCAATATTGGATCCATTTTTTCAGTGAAATCGGTTAATGAAAATTCTTCATTATTCCATACAGCCGATAGTAACTGGTTTCTGTTATAGTGGTATTGCCAGTTTTGAATACGAAATGTGAAAAAATCCTGTTAAAAAATATGGCTAAAATCTCAAAAATAAACGTGAACCTATATGACAGTGATGGTCTGTTCCAGAAATGCCCATTCTAGAAGAAGAAACCATTACGGACACTCAGTAGCTAATTTTAAACTATTCCTTTAAAAAATGGGGCTAAAATTATTGAAATACCGAATTGGAACACAGGAGGCACAGTGCTATTGTACAACCTATCACCAGAGTTAGAACGCATCACAAACTCTTAATGGCTAGGGAGCATTGATATGTCAAAAAATTTTAAATGTTTTTTTTAAACATAAGTAGATTTTTATATGTGTTCTTATACGACGTCATTCGGAGGTTATTATAATTAGTGTTTCAACAATTTTTACAAATTTAAATAATTTTTCATTCAACATTTTCAATTCCAAAATTGGTTTGACAGTTCACTGTCTCAGCAGCTGTGTCGATGCGTCTACCTATATTCTTCTACCATGGGCTGTACGAAAACGTAGACGGATAATCTGACCAAAAAATGCTAATGTAGAAGTTGTAGTGATTTTCCCAAACTTGCAAAAATAGAAGATTTGGGCAGTATCTGCAACAGAACAAGAATCATAAACATCAGGCATAGTCGTAAAGTACTAGTGTTACTAAAGGAATACACGAGCTACATCTAGTTCCGATAGTTCTTTTTCCTGAAAAGTGTTTTTGAACTAGTTCATTTCGGAACGACACAGCTCTAGTGACATAACAAGAGTGCATTTTATTTATTTTAGAATTGGACGGTGTCTTTAAAAATTAAACATGTCTGCGAAAAAGTACACCGACTTGGTTAAATTGACCACACAATATGCCCGCAGAATGAATTATTTGTCCAACCGCATTTTTGGAGAAGTGGCTCGCACCACAAATGATAAATCAATGAAGGTTTGTTACGCGAACTCTTTTTGTGAAAGATGAATGTTTTTGTTTACAATGTGCTCGTTTTATGCAGGTGGTGAGAATGTTCAGCGAGGAGCCGGTGGACAAGCGCGACTATGTCGTAAATTGGTATCCCAGACATGTTGAAACACATCTTCTAATGATGAACCTTAGAGATTATGGTCTATTCAGAGACGAACATCAAGACTTCAAAGAAGAAATGAAACGTATGCGCAAATTGAGAGGCAAAGCTCCGCCTAAGAAAGGCGAGGGCAAACGTTCAAAGAAATAGATATACATTTTATTTTCCTAATTTATTGTTGGAAATAAGTAGCTTAGCAAGTCCCTCAAATACAACGTTATCGCCTTGTTTACATTCATAAGTAACAGTGGAAATTTTGCGTTCGTTTTGTGTTCGAATGAGAAATTCACATTCAACATTTATGCGGCAAGGTTTGGGGAATTTAAAGCTCTGCTCCAAAACAATTGTTCCTGGTGGAAAGTGAGTTCCAATGAGACCGGCTATGATCGCATTTAAAAAGGCGCCATGTACCATACGACTTTCCTCGGGAATGCTGTTACTGTGAATAGGATTTGGGTCGCCGGTCAAACGTGAAAAATTGTCGAGATCTTGTTGAGAAAATATTTTTACCAGTTTGATAGGCTTTTGTTGGGCGGCGGGTGTAGTACTCAAGCATATCTTAAAAAAGCTACTATTTAGCTGGCTCCTCAGTAAATTCATAGCGTCTACAAAAATCTAATAGCAGTAATTCCGAAATATTGGCCAGTCTTTTGTTGTTCTTGTATTGGGAATTGATGTGTTGGATACGTTTTACTGTGTCTCTGGAGAGTATGTCTCCTCTTTCTCCTTGTTGATTATTTAGGAGCTGATATATGATTGTACAGCAGTTCAGAAGAATTTCAGTATTCTGCGAATTCAAAAGCAATTCTTGAATAATTTTAAAATTAACGGAATTGCTTAGGTGCAACGATATTTCGTGGTCTGAAAACTTAATGAGTTAGTGATATTTTGAAAGTCGAATAATCCTATACATACCCAAACTTATGTTGGACAATCCAGCGATGCCATGCAATTTCAGTCTGTCATTGTTGCTTCGCAACAACTCTAGGAACAGTTGAGCCGCTTCCTTCTTTTTCAAATATTCCCAATTAATGGGATCATACGCAAAGTTTGCAAGATTAGCAGTAACTTGTTCTTGAGCTTCTATAAAGTTAAGTAACTTAAATCGGAATCTAGCAGAACGTTTAAATTTCATACCAACATTCGTTGTAGTGTAGTACTCTTCCACCAGGTGTTCTATAAACTCTTCGCGATTAATTCCAGGACACGGGGTCTTTCTTTTCAAACTTTGATGGGAACTGAACATAATTTGTTCCGAAGTTGTATCGTTTTAGATCGATCGAACTTGTTCAAAGAAACAATTCTTTGAAAGGAACTATCGGAACTGAATCGGAATTTATACTGTTATTATTATTATTGCCGTATTATTATTCCTAAAAATATGACACGAATAATAATAAATTTAATTTAATTAATTTAATTGTTTTGTCGTAAAAACTATTCTCAATGCATTGTCCTTTACCCTGCGTTTAAGCACACAGAACAATATAGTTTATGGTCATAATACTACAATTTGTTTTTGTGACGAAGAGTTCTGCCATTTGCAAAGACAATTGGAAATCATAACTGAAACGGTTTTATGCTAGGAACACAATTGGAGCGAACGACGAATTTCGCCCTACGCGGCGACAAAATGAGCCGCGAAAATTCGTCGTATGGAACACAATACCGACGAAATTATAAAACAGCTGATGAAGTTGTTTACTTTTTGCTCATTTGTTGACTACAATGAAAATTATACAAGAACTCATAATTCTTTATAATTTCAGTTATGTCCACCTTTTCTATTATAAATTCACTGATATCCATCTTCACTCAGGCGCAAGTGCACAAATAAATAAACAAATTATTTATGTTTTTTTTTATACGAATAACAGATAGTAGAGTGACCATAACAAATTTTTAAGTAAAAAGTAACTTTATTTACTAAAACACATAAAATTCGTACAAGTATGGCCACCTTGTACTGTTTTGTCGCCGTTCGCCGGCGTATGAAATAGAAATAAAGCTAATTGAGTTCGCGGCGACCGACGAAATTTTCGCCGGCGCCGTGATTGTGTGCACTTCCATATACACATATGGTTTTTATTTTTGACGACGAACATACGCCGCGAAAAAATTCGTCGTTCGCTCCAATTGTGTTCCTAGCATTATGTTGGTTTAATTGTGCCGTGGTACAACACATGGTAGAAAAATACAGGTAGACGCATCGACGCTTCAAACCTAAATAGTTTATATGTTTATAATTCGAGTTTTTCGACAATTTTTACAAATTTAAATAATTTTTCATTCAACATTTTCAATTCCATAATTGGTACGACTGTTCATTGTCCCAGCAGCTGTGTCGATTAAAATCACATATTTAATCGGATTCCGTTTTGTTTAGAAGCACTCAACGATGGTGTTGTCCCTTCGAAAATAAGCACGAATTTAAATTCTGTGAGACATGCCCACAACCTTTACAATCGGTTTGTAAAACATGCCAAAAAATAAAAAAAAAAAAATTTTCTGTATAGACGCAACTTTGTGCAACCAGCCCACTAATGATACAATCTTGAATGCAACCTCTCCAGTTGTACAACTAGTTGTATCGTGTGTGGCTTGTATAAAACGCACTCTCTTTCACAATATTTATCTTTTGTATACATGCTTGTAAATACAACTCTGGCCTTTAACTGCACCTCACTTAAGCTCAATTCCGGTAATCAACTTTCTTTTTGTCTTCGCCGTCTGAGAAGAACAGTCGGTATATAGAACTCGAGAAATGGTAAGAAATTATTAAGTAATAATTTATTTAAAGAAATAAAGTTTTTGAACGTTTTGATCTCTTTAGAGTGGCAAACAATATATACACACACAAATAACTGGTATGAAGTTGTGTGAATAAAATAAATGGCGATACCTTTCGTCTTAAGAAAACACGTGTTTGTCTTCGTGCCATAAATTTCTTTTAAAAATCAGTGAAATTGACATATTTTTGGAAAAATAAGCTATACTCGAAATCTTGTGTGTTTATGTTGACTTGCCACGTTTTGACTATTTCACAAACATAACCTCAACGTTTGCATTTTTCATTTGCCAAATTGTAACATTCCCATTTGTTTTTCTATTTCAGTCTCACCGTAAATTCTCGGCTCCTCGCCATGGTTCCATGGCCTTCTACCCCAAGAAGCGCTCTGCTCGCCATCGTGGTAAGGTAAAGGCTTTCCCCAAGGATGACCCCAGCAAGCCCGTCCATTTGACTTGCTTCCTTGGCTACAAGGCTGGTATGACTCACATTGTCCGTGAAGCTGACCGTCCTGGCTCAAGTAAGTTTACAAAAATCGACAGATTCTTTAATCAATTTAATATTTTTTCTATGATGAGAAACAGTTAATTTTTTATGGTTAGAACAAAAATGATTCCCATGATTATAATTTAACTAGGGCGGACTGATCTCTCATCTTGAAAAATCTATATTTCTACGCTATGTGCAAGTTTCTAACAAATCTCTTTTCTTTTGTATTCCCACATAATAGAGATTAACAAGAAGGAGGTTGTTGAAGCCGTTACCGTTTTGGAAACTCCACCAATGATTGTTGTTGGTGCCGTTGGCTACATTGAAACTCCATTCGGTTTGCGTGCCTTGGTTAATGTTTGGGCTCAGCATTTGTCCGAAGAGTGCCGTCGTCGCTTCTACAAGAACTGGTATGTATTTATTGTCACGACGCCATTTTGTTTTGCTGTCAACGACACGTGTTCCTCCAAACAATTGTGTGTTGGTCGCTTTGTTAAATGATGATAGATGGTATCTGAGAGCTCTTATGAGGATATTTAAATGTATTACCATCTCTGCCTGCCTTCCTTCTGATACTACAAAGCAACCAACACCCTTTTTTTAACTAGTGGAACCACGTTGAAATGAGATCATTTTTTTTGTTATACCTTACTTAATGTAAAAGTCACTATAAAGTTCTTGGATCAGTGTTACACTGAGAGGGCTTTTAAAATACCAAGTGTCTGGATGAGCTATGAAGTTTGACAATTTGTTTGAATTGGATAAAATTTCATTGTGGCGAGCCCGGACTGGAAGATGCAATCTCCGCTCACTTAACGTGATGAGGTTCGCTTCCCTTTTGTTTATTTTAAAAACAGCTACGATATTGCGTTTATTTTTGAAACCAATGGAGCTGCCCGTCTAGAGGATAACTGGATCGAAATCTCACGTTGACAATGCTTTAAAGCGACGACATACAGTAATGCCGCCACATTTTGACACCAAAAGCTAACAAAAGATTTCATTGATTGTAACCAGGTACAAATCCAAGAAGAAGGCTTTCACCAAGGCCGGCAAGAAGTGGAGCGATGATTTGGGCAAGAAGAGCATTGAAAATGACTTCCGCAAGATGCTCCGTTACTGCAAAGTCATCCGCGTTATCGCCCACACTCAGGTAATTATTGCAACATTCAGTATAAAATCGAGACTCATATAGCGCGACGTCCTTGGGCATTAACGCGCTATGTTGTAGCTGTGCCTTCGGGTATAGCGGCGACGCGGCGTGTCTATGTTCCTAAAAGGCGGTCTGGCTGTGATGCTCAATGCACAGTAATTAACCGCAACGTCGCAGATCAAATTGCCCTTCGGGTGGCGATTTGTGATATATTCCACTAACTGTTTGTAGCCGCTTAGGTCATGACCATGCAGTTAAACCATATCACAGACATTCCCACATCATCCATTTTGTTGCATTTTTATTTGAAACATTCGATTCTAATGAAACATTTCATTTAACTTTTGTAGATCCGTTTGATCAAGCAACGCCAAAAGAAGGCCCATGTTATGGAAATCCAATTGAACGGTGGTTCCATTGAAGATAAGGTTAAATGGGTTAAGGAACACTTGGAAAAGCCCATCCCCGTCAGCAATGTCTTCGGCCAAGACGAAATGATCGATTGCATTGGTGTCACCAAGGGTAAAGGTTTCAAGGGTGTCACTTCCCGTTGGCACACCAAGAAATTGCCCCGCAAGACCCACAAGGGTTTGCGTAAGGTTGCCTGTATTGGTGCCTGGCATCCTTCTCGTGTGTCGACCACCGTCGCCCGTGCTGGTCAAAAGGGTTACCATCACCGTACCGAAATCAACAAGAAGATCTACCGTATTGGTGCCGGTATCCACACTAAGGATGGCAAGGTAAATATTACTCATGTTATTCAAGATTCCATATTTGTATATCTGTGATGATAAACTCATAAAGTTCCGACATCAAACATAAAA